GCAAATTTACTGATCGCAAGAAACAAGAGGCTCACAGATCGACTCTCGATGTCATCGCTCTCAGCCTCCTGCTCGAGCGCATCAGTTGCTGCTGCTCTTGGAGAGAAAGCGCTGCCCCTCCTCGCTGCTTGCTTCTGCTTCTTGTTCCCCTGTACCTGAGTCCAGCGCTGCTTGCCCAGGTACGCTCTGAGCTTTTCTTTCAAAATGTTGCGCTTCGATCCCAACGACGGCGTGGCTGCCCAAGCTCCGAGCGTCATGAACTCCACGTTGCCCGGCGAGTAGAAGGTGTCATGCAGCTTGCCGACACTCTTGTCTAGCTCCAGCGAGATCGGCTTGCCAGCAAGTAGATCCTCCTCTGACGTCTCCAGGAGCATCGTCGAGAGGTCGACCAAGACCTGCTGGTCGACTGGCCCTGACGGCGAGGCCGCCTCCAGAGTGATCCTGTCGATGTCGCTGAGCTCCAGCCATCCAGCGCCTTGCTGCTCCGCCTGTGGCTCCTGAGCTTGCTCCTCGCTCTCCTCTTCATCCTGAGAGCTCCACTTGAAACCCACAGCTTCCAGCTTGACTTCCAGGGTCCCTTCCAAGTAGAAGGGCATGTCGTCCATCAGACGTCGAGCCTCTGCCTTGGTCGCCAGGGAGAGAGTTATCAGGCTCCCATCCCAGCTCAGCGTGTCTCGATCTTCTTGAACCTCAATGCTGGCAAGCTTGAGGTCCATTCTTCTTGCTAATTCCAACATGGCTCGCTTGACTCGCGTGGTCGATGTGTTACCTCCTCCGCACAGTGCTTCCATCTCCTTCCTCGAGAAGCGGCCTGTGCTCATGCTTGACCTCGACTTGATCTGCACCCTGAAACTGCCGCTTGGAGCCTGCTCCCTGTCGCGAAGTACCTTCCTCTGCTTGGCGATCTTTCCTCTCGGCACGAAGGTGTCTGCTGTGAGCTCGACTGCAAACGTCTCTCTGAGCTTGGCGTCGTCGCTGACGAGAGTCAGGTGCACCCCCTCCATCGCCTCGCTCTCTCTGAACGAGGCCAACGTCTGCTCGCAGCTGGCCGTCGATGGGCAGGATAGTACCCACTCGAGCTCTCTCTGCTGCTTGCTCCAACAGCGACATACGTCTTCGGGCTCGGCCCCTTGCGACCTCTCTGCCCAGCACCCTGCACGAGCATGCCCGCCAGCGGTTGTACCTCTGCTGCGGCGAGACATTGCGAGATCAGTTGGAATTGATAGATCCGAGCTATGTCCGCCGTCGACATTCCTCCAAGAGCTAGGAGCTGCGATAGCTCGGCAAGGCTCCCTCCCTTGCCCCAAGGTCCTCGCTTGGCTCGGAGCTTGAACGACCGGTCGTGTGCAATGCTGACTTCAGTTGCTCTGAAAATTCGCCCGTCGATGCTGTACTCTCTGCTGCCTTGCCAGAGTGCGATGGCTTCTTCATTCCGAAGGAAGGAGATGGTGACTGAGATGTCTTTCCACATGATGGCCTTGTCGTCTCTATCGACTGAGTCTACTATGAGTCCCAGCTCCGTCAACTTCATTTTCAATTTGTCTTCTTGTCGCACATACATCGAGAGATGCCCAGGAGAGTCATGGAGATGAAGGAGGTCTCCTCGGTGTCTTCGGTGCCGATGTAAGTCTCGACATTCTGCTGTTTGGCCTCTTTCATCTGTTGCATGAACCATGCTTTCGACTCTGGGCTCCATGCGCTCAGAGAGTCTTCAAACAGGTCGCGTCTCGCCTGCCGACATGTCGAGCGGATGGCTTCTGCGATAGCGTCGGGAGTGCATCCCCCCTCAGCTCTGCAAGCATGAGCTGTCCGACTATTCGGATAACGCTTGGTGAAGCTCTTCACCTTCTCGACGAGGTCGGCGGCCTCCTCGACGTGGCCTCCTGAGCGCTCACCCTGCGTGTATTGGCATGATCTCCGATACAGCAGGTTGCGAACGCTCTCATCATACTGTAGTACCATACTTAGAAAGCTGTTTGAACTGCACAAACCTCTTGCTCGCAGCTTCCTCCGGTGCCCTTGCGCTCTCCCTACGCGCCACAGAGCAGCATGCCTCTGTCAACGGGCCCTAAACCCCAGGGATCTGGGATGGGTCTGGTATCATTCTCCGGCTACGCAGTGAAAGTAGTGCAAGAAAGATGATGGCTGAATTCCCCACACACCTTCTCTGCTGGCAAGGCACAGTTGAGAGCCTTCGGCCAGTGAGTGGATGATGGATGGGGTGGTAAGTGGGTTGTGGATGGGTCCCTGGGACTCACGTCCCTTCCCCCGGGCCTCGGTCCGGACCGGGCCCGAGAGCCCGGCCTCCTCCCCCCGCCTCCCCCTCCCCCCTCCCCCACCGGCTTACCTGCCCTTACCTTCGTTGCTTGCCCCATGTCCACCTCATTTATTTCTTCCTCCTTCC